ATGTGCGAAAAACTGGGGTCCCATAAGACCCGCACCACACCCCTTCACCCACAGAGCGACGGCCTCGTAGAAAGGTTCAACCGCACACTGGCTCAACAGCTTGCCATAGTGACGGCGAAACACCAAAGAGACTGGGACGCCCATGTCCCCCTCGTGCTGATGGCGTACCGGTCTGCGGCCCAAGATTCCACTTCCTGCTCCCCTGCCCTCCTCATGTTAGGAAGGGAGATGCGCACGCCAGGCGAGATGATGATGGGCTTACCCCCCGACGCTCCTGTGGACCCCCCAGGGTTCGAATATGCCAGGAAACTCCAGGAACGGTTACAGTCTGCTCACGACTTTGCCAGGCGCCAGCTACAGAGTGCAGGGGCGAGGCAGAAGAGGAACTACGATGTGCATGCTAGAGGACGGCATTTCAGTGCTAGCGAGTTGGTCTGGGTGTATAACCCACAGAGGAAGAAGGGAAGATGCCCAAAGCTGGACAGCAACTGGGAAGGGCCCTGCAGGGTTCTGGAGAGACTGAGTGAGGTCGTCTACAGGGTCCAACTGCAGAGGAGAGGGAGAATAGTTGCTCTTCACCGGGACAGGTTGGCACCCTATCGGGGTACAGCGACACCACTAGGATCAGTTGGTGAGACACAGCGGGCTAGGGACACTATTCTTTCTTCTTCCCAAACCCCCTCCCATGACCCAGCGACCTTGCCTGGTTCCCCACAACCTGGACTTTTTTTCCCTTGCCCTACTCTGAGCCCCACGGTGGGCCTGTTTCCCCCTGCCGCAGACCAGGCACGGCCGCAGAGAAATCGCAGACCCCCTAACCACCTGAGAGACTTTGTTTATTCCCTCGAGGACGAGGGACTTTGAGGAGGGGGGAAAGTGTAACGGACTGGTTATAATGTTGATGTTTGATGTGTTTGTTGTTCAGAGTTTGTTTGCATTTTACAGAGTGTCAGTGAACGTGCCACTGTTTTGATGGACGGTTCTTGTGACCTGTAGCTGTGGGTTTGGGTGGGAGAGTGTTGTCTGGTTGGTTGGGGCTGGAAGAGGGAGGTTCCTGGAGGGGGAGACGCGGGAAGCGAGAGAAGAGCTAGGGGAATATGTGACGGAGAGTGAGGATATACGACAGAGTTAGTGGATTGTTTGGCGTGGTTATGGCCAACAGTAACCTGTGATCTGTATAATAAACTCCCGGATAAAGGACAAACCAAGCCTCCCTGTGTTCCTGTAGCGAGACGCTACAATATTAACAGGGTAAAATACAAAATTAAAACAAAGTTACTATTATATATTCATTATGCATAATGTCTAAGAAAGATAGAGGGAGATAAGAAGGGAGAGTGAGGGGTGTTATGGCTAAGTGTGTGTGTGTGTGTGTGTGTGTGTGTGTGTTCATAACGGCAATGACCAAGTGTGTGAGCGCAGCAGAGAAGACACGCCAATGGAGCTCCTCTCAAACAGTGAGTATTTTTATTTTACCTGTAATGTAAAATGCACGTGTGTGTGTGTGCGTGTGTGTGTGTGTGTGTGTGTGTGTGTGTTGACTTGTTTAATTTTGCTTGATTTTAATTCATTATCACTGATGTTCACTGTGCAGGAAAAATGATAAGTAGTTTAATAATTAAATGACTCTTGTTTATATCGTAGGTGTGTGCCCTACAAGTACCTACTGTAGTGCGTTTTCTCAGTGTTAATGTTAAAGGTGTGTTTTTTTTAGATTTATAGATAATAAGTAGCAAAAGCTCAACATTAGCAGTACCATGTATTTAATTACATTTTAATTTAATAGTATAATATCCTGAATGGATGTGTAACTGCATGTGTCGCTTCTTTTACTTTTTCATTTATTTACTTAGTTTGTGTAAATACTTTGTTCAATATTCAATAGCATTTATTTAGCATAATTATCAATATGAACATGAATTAAAATGTCATATACATAATCACTTACCTTACCCCAGTGTTTCTCAAAGTGTGGTCCGCGTACCACTGGTGGTCCGTGAGCGCCCTCTAGTGGTCCGTGAGTATATTGGTAACATTTCACATTTGAAATAAATAAATACATTTAAGTTTTCCGCACTCTAACAGGAATATCTCCGCAATGGAGCGAGCTTAACTTCTACTTTTCAACTTCAATTGCATGATATAGCCCAGCGCCACACCTTCGTCAAACATGTTGCCAGTTGTTTGTACCATTTTCAGGCGATTTGTTATCTGTTCTAGAAAAACGATGTGGTTTTTTTAGATTTCAAGAAGCATATAAAACAAACAATGGATGTATTTTATGAACATGTATCCATGCTGGAAGTAGATTTAGATGTTTTAGTGAGATAGAGATTATTATCTAATATATGCATCCAATGAAGCATTGCATGAAGTCTGTTGATGATCAGAGGCTGTTGTTGGGGAGCATAAACGTTTTTTTATTTTAATTTTGTAGGCAGACCATGCAGGCAAGCCCGATGGTCACCAAGGTTCATGTTTTAATAGCATTTTTACAAAAATGTGAAAAAAGGCCTCAGAGAGTTAAACTTGGGCCTGCGACCATAGTTTTACTGTATTTTGTTTTGAAAATCCACAGCGGAGGTTTGTGTCGTACTACATGCGGTGTGTTTTGCATTTCTCTCAGTAGCCAACGATCTGTGAGTCTGTTGGACATAAACTCCGTAATAAATGTAGTCTACATTTCATAAGAGGTGTAAAACCTGAGAACATTTTAAATCGCATTTGAACGAAATGCTTATATAATCTGTAGTTGTATTTGTATTGTTGATTTAATGTGTGAACGAGGCGATATAGAAAAGGTTAAAGGTAGGGTAGGTAATTTTGGAGAAACCGGCTCGAGATCGCTAGAATTTGAAAATACACAACCGGAGAAAATCTGCCACTTCCTTACAGAGCCCCTCCTCCAACACACACGAACGCTCACATGACCAATGAGGGCACGAGATAAGTTTGTGCACAGATGGAAGGCTGACAGGCAGGTAGGCCATCCAGTTATTTTAGCCGGGCCGGCGCTTTTTACAGCGCTACGGCTTCCACAGATTACATTTTTTTATGGATTTTTTGTCAAAGCACTTCAGCTATTCATTGCCATCGGGATGTTAAGAGCATTCCATGGAATATAACAAAAAGTGTATCTCGAGCCGGTTTCTCAAACTTACCTACCCCACCTTTAAATTAAAAAATAAAGAACAGCACAAATAATTATTCAACAAAAACATAAAAAATAATGTCATTAATTCTGTTATTTAAGGGGGATAAAAAAATGGTAACACCTATTGAGAGTTACATTAAATGTGTGTGATTGCTTGTAAATATGTTTCTGTCTCTCCCCACACACCCCTTCCCTCCCCTCTAGTGTCATCTGTGATTGAGCGTCATTGGAAATCCATGGCTGTGCGTCGCCTCTGCGTCCTGTAACCCGGGGACACTTCCAGACTTCCCCTCGAAGCTTGGGTCTTCTTCAGATGAGTCCTCGCTGGCAGATAAAAGCTGCACGGCCATCTCTGAAGCTTCTTCTGCACTGAAATGCCTTCATTGTTGCTCCAGGTCTTTCTCCTTCTCTGCTCACTAATGAAATAACCCTCATTAAAACTGCATGTGTATCTGTGGTACACACACACACACACACACACACACACACACACACACACACACACACACACACACACACACACACACACACACACACACACACACACACACACACACACACACAACACACACCACCACACACACACACTTTCTGACTCTAATCACCACCAAAGCCCCCTACTGTTTATTATATGGGAAATAAATCATGTTTTCTGATGTTTTGTAATGAATAATTCAAACAAATTAAACAGGCATTTAAAGGGTTAAAATCCTGAGAATGATTGGTAGTTTTTGAGCAAGTTTTAAGTTGTTTAAGGGATTTATGAAAAAAAACAGAATAACATATTGATGAATGATAATATGATTTAATAGCAGTTTTTTTTGTGTACATTTTTGCCACGTTGTCCAGAGGGTCCAAATGCATCGATAGAGTATAAAAGACATGTAAGAGTAAAAAGACATTGTATATAAAACCTTTGACTCAAGAGTTCTTGCTGAATGATCCCCAAATACAAAACTAAAGTTGAAAAAAAGGTACAAAAAGGCCCGAGGGAGGCACAATACACCCCCTGCCCACCCAGAAACATCACCTTCCGTAATCTACACTCCATTGACCATAACCATCTCTCCGAACTGCTATCGTCTAATCTCCCCCTGGACACAACCCTCAGCTCACCTGATGATCTGCTCAACCACTTCAACTCCACCCTACTCACCTCCCTCAACACCCCAGCCCACCTCAACTCCACCCTACTCACCTCCCTCAACACCCTAGCCCACCTCAACTCCACCCTACTCACCTCCCTCAACACCCTAGCCCACCTCAACTCCACCCTACTCACTTCCCTCAACACCCCAGCCCACCTCAACTCCACCCTACTCACCTCCCTCAACACCCTAGCCCACCTCAACTCCACCCTACTCACCTCCCTCAACACCCCAGCCTACCTCAACTCCACCCTACTCACCTCCCTCAACACCCCAGCCCACCTCAGAAATAAAACTGTCACTCTCAAGACCTCCTCCCCCTGGTTCACACCCGCACTCCGTCAAATGAAGCAGCGAGGCCGCCAACTTGAACGTCTTTCAAAGAAAACATCCCTCACACAAACTCCATCTCAATACTTACAAAGATGCTCTTATTGCCACTAAATCGGCCTACCTCTCCAACGTCTTCACTGACCCCTCCCATAACCCCAGGACCCTCTTCTCTGCTGAATGATCCCCAAATACAAAACAAAAGTTGAAAAAAGGTACAAAAAGGCCCGAGGAGGACATAAGGGTTAATCTTGTAAAGTGTAAATAAGGATTTATAGAAAATGATTTCATGACAGAGCTGCAATATTTAAAAGTTATTATCACGTTAAGGTCTTGTGATTAATACAGCAGAAAACATTACCTCATACATTTTGAGGAAAAATGACTGAAATAATCAATCTGTTTAAATTCAGCGTCGTCATGCTAATTCACCAGAAAAACACTGTTATATTTACTGGTTTCAAATGTATTTTCTCTGTGAATTATAACAGTTTAAAGTGTAAAATGTACATGTTCGCTGTATTTCTTTTTAACAGTGTTTCAGCAGTTCAGATTTTCTTTGTTGTTTTGGAATACGCTCTGATCAGATGTTCACTGCAAAATGCATCTTTCCTTTGGGACCTTTCTCCTCGTGGACCTGGAAGATAAACAGGAAAACACTTTTATGAAATCACCAACAATCACTTCATATAGAGGTCTCATAAATGTAGTGACTCTGCTACTGATAACATCTGCTCTGTGAATCACTTCCCGTCTTCTGCTTTAAGAAAACTGAGATATTTATATTCCTCCACGTTCCCAGAGCTGGACTTTTGTTCCCCTAAAGCAGGGAACTTTTTTATTAAAGGTCCACTTGTGAATTTTATACAAGGTCACTGGTCCGGATCAATGCCAGTAAAGCATTAGAAAGTCAAGGTAAACTTGCGGTTAACTTGCGGTCTGCAATGCGTGTCACGCTCGCGCACACAAGTAAATATATAAGCACGTTCATTCTCACAATGCGTCAGACACAAGAAAATATACATTAATTTACATCAGAATCCGAAAGTTTTTATTTTTTTATTTTGTATAATTTAAATTTTTTATAATGGGACACAGGGTTCGGTCCGGATTGATTTGCAGTTCGGTCCGGATCCGGACCTTGGTCCGGAGTTTGAGAAGCCCTGCCTTAAAGTATAAATATGTATGTACAGATGAAGCGTCTTATTTTGGACAGTTTAAAGTGCGAGGGTCGTGATCGGTTCATGCACGTTCCGTGATGGCCGGCCGGCCCCCAGTCAGACTTGATACCGCCCCCATGATAAATACATTTAATTATTGTGAAGCCAGCTGCAATGTATCATTGATCCACCAGGGGGTGCAGTGGGGTTCCACACTGGAGTCATGTGAAATCAACTTCTAAATAATAGATGTTGTTTAGTCGGAAAAAACGAACGAGCCGGCTCTCCCGATTTTTAATCCTAATTTAATCATCATCATTGATGTTTATGTTCACCGAATTGACATGAAATCACTGACAAATATGAATATTCTGTATTCAACTTCATTGAAACGATCAGGATGGGTGTTATTTTTCCCCACAATGACCAAGTCGCTGCAAATGATCCCATGTATTACATGTACATGGCCACATTCTCAACAAAGTTACGTAACGAAACATTCTGTATTCCTTGCTTACTTTTTATTTAATGCTTTATAACAGCTGGAATAGTTCGTTTAGAACAGGCACCTCACTCGCAATCTGCTCCTCCGCAACGCCTACCACCTACCTCCGGCTGAAATTATGAATGTACAGTAAGGCATAGTAATCATAGATAACACGGCAGGGTCCGTTACAGTTTGTTTTCATCTGATTTCAAATATTTCAAATGTCTGAAGTTAATAAATACATTCTCAGTGTTCAAGTCAATAATAGTCATATAAGAAAAGTACTGATCTAATAACAGAGATTTTATAAGGACTTTTCAATGTTCGACATCGCTCATGTGAAATACAGTAAACTGGATGTTGTGGTGCCGAGAGGCGGGGTATCAAAAGTACAAGCTAAACTTTTATTTAGCATCTGAACGATCTGAACACACTTGTAAACAACGTGATGCCCGGGAAGCGAAGACCCGGCGGAAACAGCTGGTCTGGTTCACTAAAATGTCCGTGTACAGTATATCTGGTACTAATGTATAGCGGATCTTTGTTAAGATCCATATGTCACGGATAGATATTATATATAGAGATGGGATGGCAGAAGGTGCTATATATATATATATAATTCCAAAGCTGGTAAAGACCTTTCAAATTTAGCAATAATAGTCATATAAGAAAAGTACTGATTTGTTCTTGAATATTATAATAAAATAAACACCGGCTGTTGTTATGCCTGCTGTAACGTTTACTTTCTCCGTTCTCCGCTTAAGTAATTATTACTTCCTGGTTAGCTTTCCGCTCGAAATTTAAATCTGAAAATGGCAAAATAACGGAGAAAAAAACGTTCACAGAGAAGACGACAACAATTGTCACTTGCACTTGTCATTTAGCATCTGAACACACTTGTAAACAACGTGATGCCCGGGAAGCGAAGACCCGGCGGAAACAGCTGGTCTGGTTCACTAAAATGTCCATGTACAGTATATCTGGTACTAATGTATAGCGGATCTTTGTTAAGATCCATATGTCAGTAGAGATGGGATGGCAGAAGGTGCTATATATATATATATATATATATAATTCCAAAGCTGGTAAAGACCTTTCAAATTTAGCAATAATAGTCATATAAGAAAAGTACTGATTTGTTCTTGAATCAACTTTTTTATGGAAAATGTTTTATGTAATTTTATTTCATTTTAAATAAAATGAAAGACATTCACAGTTAATGTAATTAGATATACATTATTAATGCCATACATTTTTAAATGTAATTAGATATACATTATTAATGCCATACATTTTTGCATAAATATTTATTCAGTATGATAGCTGTCTAACAGAAGTTAAATCCATTTCTCACTTATTCTGACAATGTACTTAACCCCAAATAAAAGAACCCAATAAAAATAGTTGTTAAATAATAGTGAAGTCACGTTGTAATAACAATAATTCATCTCTCTCGGTTTTTTTTGTTTTCTTTGTGTGCTTTGCCAAAAGCCACTGTGTCAAGTATCCTAGTTGGGTTACCGTAACGAACAGCAGCCGGCTCTCGATTTTTAATCCTAATTTAATCGTTTATGTTCGCCGAATTGACATGAAATCACTGACAAATATGAATATACTGTATTCAACTTCATTAAAATGTTATTAACGTGCCTAAACTCAGTAATTCACTAAAAATTACTGATCCCTCCGCGACGCGGAGGGATCCCTGGGTCCCTTGATCCCTGGGTGTTATTTTCCCCCATAATGACCAAGTCGCTGCAAATTATCCCGCTTATTACATGGCCACATTCTCAACAAAGTAACGACATGACTCCCAATATTAATTAAAATGCTTTTATGGATTTAGAAAATATTTTTATTGATTTAAAACATAGTTCTATGTATTGATTTAAATTTACATGCATCCGCTAAGAAAAATAGTCCGTTGTTACCGTTTTTTAAACAGTCAGAATGAAACGGCAGCTCTCAGCTGTGTGTTCACACTCCTAACTCTGATCTTTCTTTTCCAACAGTTAAGTTAACTGTAGGTTACTCTGAGTGACAAGCTTACAGTTAGTGAAGTAACACTTTTTTTTTGTGAGTCACGACCTCGCTGTTTCATTCTAACATAACGCTCCAAATATGACTGTTTCCACTCGGACTTCAATACAGCAACACCATTGTTTGGTTTCCATGGTAGCGTGTCTCTTTAGTAGCGTGCACTCCTTTCCTGTAAATTACAGGTCCAGCCAGGCAAAACAGTAATATGAAATATGAACGTTAGTTTTTAACTGAAATGATCAAATAAAGTCAAAATGTCACAGTGTTTACAAACATTGACCATACCGTTCACCAGTCCCCACCCCACTCTTTGTTTAAAACGAATTGGCCATCGGAATGTGTGTGTCCCAACCCCCCCCTGTGATATCTCTTCACAGGGGGGAGAGAGTTAGACGCTCGTGAATTGTCAACGGGGGGGGGGCCTCTCTGCACGGAGGAGCCGCGGAGAAGTGAATCACATGCGGCTTTCACACCAGCGCTTTTCCCTTTCTAGCTCCTAGCGAGAGCTTTTCTGGTTCAGCTCCCGTTTCCCTTTTCAGCTCCCGCTCTGTTCACACTGCCCAGAGCTGCCGAGAGATTTTCTCCCACAACAACGGGGGGGGGGACTGCGTCGGGTCGACGATCGTGTTGCTTTTAATCATACGAAGCCAGATTAAATTAAATAACGACTTCTCCAACCTTATACTTTTCTCCAGAGTGCCGTGGTTCATTGTTTATTAATGTGTTTCAGCATTTACCGACCGCTGCAGTGCTGGCTGCTCTTCAACGGGAGTGTATTCTCCCGTTAGCTCCGGGTTAGCTCACACGGCTCTAAAGTATTCACTGTCTGACTGTCACACAAGCAGCTGATACATATCCCCAGTTCCCCTTAAGTGAATGTGTGTCAGTCTGAATTGACACTGTTTGGCATCACAACGCTGTTATGAAAGTTTCTCTGGTATAACATGGGTGATGTTAGCATAGCAACCGAAGCTAAACGGACTACTTGCTAAGCCGTTTTCTCCAGGCACTTTTTACCGGCGTATTTTTCATTATGATTCTACTTGTGATAGTCGGACATGACAACCTGTACAGCCCATGTATTAATTCCATCCGATAGCTGCTATAATAACAAACCAAACGTCTGCCTGCTCTCCACAATGATCAATAACAGCGAACGGATGGTCAAAGTAAGGTTTCCTGCACGCCTCGACGTAAGAGACGTAAGCGACGCCGCGTCATAGCTCCAAAGCTCTTGCCTCTGGACCGACAACTTTTTGGAGCTGGAAGTGAACCGCATTCCGGAGCTATGACGCGCCGCCGCTGCGGTGTGAACAGGAAAAACCGGCGCTTTTCAGGCTCTAGCTCCCAGCAGGAGCTGGAAAAGCGCCGGTGTGAAAGGGGCAACAGTGATCTGCTATTTTAAAGTAAATTCAACACATATCGACCCTAAATATAGCATATATTAAGAACGAGAAAGTGTTAACATCGTTTTTTGTAAACATATGACCAATGTGCGAGGGTGATGACATCAGAGCATCGTCCTATGGGCTTAGCCCCGGACAGGTACAACAGGTATTCACTCAGAGGGGGGTAGTTACCCATTTACATGTCAAAAAGCAACATACAGTAGGCGGGTGGGGGATGGTGAACGTTTACATTTCTCTACAGCAGTGGTTCCCAAACTTTTTGTGCCCAAGGCACACCAAAGGACAAGTAAAAATCTCAAGGCACACCTATTGTGCGAAATAGCCCTTATAACACGTGTTATCACTCATATCATGTAAAATATCTGTAAATGTGCATAATTATTTACTAATGCCAAATAAAATGTATAGATAGAACAATCAGTGGTTCAAGTTAGTATATTCCTCAGTGTAACATATCCACTAGTTGCAAAGCTTAAACATTTTTATATATTTTTTTATTTTAAGGGAAAGGATGTTTTCACTACTCAGTTTGTCAACTATGTTACGGACAAACTTGATGTCATTACAATCATTTGATTAAGTCCTGCACTTCAAGTAAAATCAAATTTGAAAGGCTCTTGAGTCTATTCTACCATATATCCAAAGATTTTTTAAAGTTTAAAAAATAATTGTATTAAAGTTTTGTTTTTTCATGTTATATGTTCAGCACTGTCATTAAGTTTAGGGATATTTTGTATTATAAAACTACCATACAGGTCATTTTGATAGTTTTAAGAGATGTCATGTAAAACTCCAACCTGTGTAGATATACATTATACTATAAAGGATATCAGAAGCACTATTTTAGATATTTTAAATTTGAAAAAATGAGGTGCAACATAGTTGACAATGAAAGTCAAACATTTGACGCAAATAACATAGTTGACTGGACACATTATTAACCATCAGCACTATGTTAATTTCAAGGCAGAAGTGCAAAATTCCATTGATAATGATGTGTAATGACGTCTACATGTCGTACAAATTGTCAACTAGGTTACCTGTCAACTAAGTTACTACAGTTATTACAGTACTGGGTAACTCAGTTGACAGGTAACCTAGTTGACAATTTCCCTATTTTGACCCATCATTTCAATGGTAGGCCTTGCCTGGATGACCACATGTCATTTTCTTGAACAGGTTAACATCACATTTGCACATATAATTGAATTAAAATCATTAAACAATTGTAAACCATAACAATGTACGTAACATTGTTGATTGTCAATGAGTATATTAATTGACCATGTGCTATTATACATAAAATATTGTAAAAATGTAGAGGACAATCACCACAGTGTGTTCAAAATGTCTGCCAAAGAGGAACATGGCATCATGTGATGCTGGTGACATGGTATTGGGACAAACAATTTTTGAGTTAAAGGGGGAAGTTCTGTTAGTAACATAGTTGACAGAACTTTTGCGGACATTCATATATTAAGATATTTAAATTATTTAAAGGGGGAAATCAATTAAAAATATGTTATTATTCTTTAGTATTTAGACTTTTGAAATAAATGAATCATTTTTTAAATTTACTTTAATGGTTTTTATTCATTATTTTGAATCCAAGACACCCTCAACTGAAAAACGGACATAGCAAAAACTGACAATTTAAGAACATCATGACACATTTCAAGCTAAATAAAGCATAGGATGCACATAATGTTTGTGTGATATTATAACATGCTTTCCAATAATAGGCAAAATATGATATTTTTGAAGAAAATAGTTAGAATAATTATAATTATCATCAATGGACATCAATGGACATGGAATGTACCCTAAATTGTAGAATCACTCAGCAGTTACATACACCAAACCTTCCAGTTATATTCCTATCAATATTATGAAGGCTTTTACAGAAGGGTTTGGTCATATATAATTCATAGCCTGAATTATATAACATTTTATACCTAAAAACATGGTGAAAATTGATATTTTAGGGCTGTTGACAGTATTTTCTGATTTATGGAGTGATACAAAGAGATATCCAAAATCCCTTCTGTAAAAGCCTTAGATACTAATATGACTACAAAATGAAACAATAATTTTGATCCTGGCTTTATCCAAAGTTCAGATTTCGGTTCCTGAAATGTGTTAAAATATGCGCATATTTCATGAGGTAATGGTTCATTTGGATATTTAAACATGCTATTTCAGAAAACTTGTAATACAAAAAACAATTGCCTTATTGTAAGTAATTAACTGGAGAAATATTTAGCTGATATCTTTAAGTTAAAAATACCCTATTCACCTGGGGTGTCTCGCCTTAATTAGATGTTTGATAAGTGCAGATCACATAGTAAAACACGTACACAGATACATTATTTTGTATTTTTATTAAATTCGACAATGTCAATTTCACTTTCCACTATGTCCACCGTTGTTTTTCACAACCAATGGCAGAACTTTATTGAGGCCTGTAATTAGTCAACTACAGGTCTCTTGAGTCAGTCTTTTTCTTCCAAAAAGCTTGTGACAAGATGTTATTGCTCTTGGGGCATTAAAAACAAGATTTTAACTTTAGTTTTTTATATAATATCTGCATTTTCTATTGTGAAAAACTAAGTCTTAGTTATTTAATATATAGCGCCATCTCCTGGTTAAACCCTGAAATTGGAGAATAGTGGGAGGGCCTAACATTCCTGAATACTGGTCTTTGGCAGGCAACTGGCTGGCAACTGGCTGGCAGTCGGCAGGAAGCTGTATGCTGGGGTCCAAAATAAGAGGCTCCATCTGTACTGCATGTACTTATACAATATATGTACTTAATATGTAACAGTTCTTCATGAATCGCCTAAACGACTACACCTAAGTTTTATATATGTTGTTGAATTATCCAACATTTTTCAGAACATTTTTTATTTATTCTGAGGGGTCGAGACTGGAAAAGGTTGAGAACCACTGCTGTATAGCATCTTACACGTAGAGGCCCCCTCCTCTTTATCCTAAACATCCTTCCCCTCGGTCACATCCACACTCAACTCTACCTCTCATCACACCCACCACCCACTCCACCCTCACCGCCTGCCTTAAACTATGGATGCAAGAAAACTTCCTCCATCTCAACTGCAATTAATCAGAAATACTCATCACCTGCTCTGCCCAGTGATTCTCACTCACCAGCTCTAACGTCAGCCCCTCCACCATGATCTGCGACCTCGGTGTTATCTTCGACCCCACCCTCTCCTTCCTGCCACATGCCAACCTCATCACCAAAACTCTCTTCTTTCCACCTCAAGAACATTGCCGTCCTTCGACCCTCCCTCTCTTTCACTGCCGCTGAACTCCTCATTCACGCCCTCATCACTTTATCTACTGCAATAGCATCCTCTCCTGTTCACCAAACAAAATGACCAGCAAACTGCGATACGTCCAGATCTCCCCTCCCCCCACAGACGAGACCACATCACTCCAGTCCTCCACAACCTCCACTGGCTCCCAGTCAAATACTGAATAGTCTCTGTTAAGCCCCAAAGCCCACGTCGACGGGTCTTTTTTTTCTCACAAATTAAAAAAAAAGTTTATTTTTTTATTTTTTATTAATTTTTTTTATTTGAATTTTTTTTCTTTGGATGGAATGAATACCTATGGTGATAATTCAATGTAATACATCATTTTTATAGTCTGGTACCTGAAAAAGGTCAAATGGCACTGATGGAACCAGATGTACCCAAATGTGCCGAAAGCTTATTCCGCCTGGAACTTTTCACTTGTTTTGCCTCAATCTTGATACAGGGTACTTATTATATGTTATAGTTTGGATTCCTAAAGCTTTTATTCTACCATCCCATCATTCAAGGGTGGTTTTCACTATAAGTAATGTTTTTTCTTTAGGCGGAGGTAAGAATTTACCTTTTTTTACTATGTTCCATCTGAATTTACTCTAACTGAGAAAAATCTATATTGATTCTGACACTTCTACATCCATCTCACAGATGTAACCTTGTTTTGATAAAAGAAATTATTCATATAACCCTTTTAGAAGTGAAGTTGTAGTCATTTGTTTTGGGCATGTCATTTTCGAGCCTGAAACCTGAAAAACAGGCTCGGGGCTTAACAGGTTAAACCACTCCTCCCCACCTACAAAGCCTTAAACCACACTGTACATGTTACATTTATATTCAATCTAATATGTCATATTCCATTCCTCACATAATTATAAATATATATAATATCTTGCTTTATATTTTGTTACTGTATATGTGTAATTCAACGTGTATATTTTCTACTTTCTTTTTTTAATGCTATTTTATTTCTATTGAGATGTTTACATTTCGGAATGTTTATTTCTTGTCTTTTAATTTATACAATGCCTTGTCTTTTTATGCTGCTGCAACGCAAACATGTCCCAAATTGGGATCAATAAAGTACTTCTTATCTTATCTTAAACAACCTGGCCCCTCCCTCTCTCTCTGACCTCCTCAACGTCACATCTCCACCCGTTGCTTCAGGTCCGGAGATGCAAACCCCCTAAAGACCACCAGGACTAAGACCTGGATCTGGGGGGTGCCCGGGCCTTCTCTGCTGCTGCACCCTCAATCTGGAACTACCTCCCTCTACACAGGACAATCAACCACCCTATCATCTTTCAAACAACCCCTCAAAGCCCCCTCTTCAGACAGCCTTTTCTCTTGGAGCCCCCCCCACCCCCTGTTAAATGGTCAGTTTCTCTTGCACCACTGTGTTTGTTAAATGTGACTTTTGGAAAGCGTCTTTCTGTGTCTTGAAATCACGATATCAATTAAATGCATTATTATTATTATAATATTAAATACAAATAATTATATAAATATCTTTTAAAAGTAGTGTTTGGTGCTGTTATAGGTTTACCTGTCTGAAGATTCAGGTGTGTTTTACGGTGAGAAGGAACCTGGAGCCTGGAATGATGAAAAGGCACAAAGTTAGTTATTGTAATAAAAATCAAGTTCAGCTCAATGAACACAAACTACAATTCCAGAGCAGAGCATCGTGAGACCATCAACAATTCAAAGAGTCTAGATCAGGCGTGTCCAAACCTTTTTCAAAGAGGGCCAGATTTGATCATGTGAATATGCCCGGGGGCCATTGTCCTTTCTGACATTTTTTAAACATAAAAGTGACTTACAAATACATTGTTATATAACAATTGTCATTGTCACAATTATCTTATTATTTTTTCAAATGGCAGTATAACTAAATATAAGCCACTCAGGCAGGCATGAACATCTCTAAAAACACTGCCTTTCATTCATATCTGGAGAGTCAGATAACAGTGAACGGACTATATGGAATATCTTAAACTTTGTAGCTGGTTTGACCTATTTTTAATAAAGTGGGGTGCCAGTCAGAATCAGGTCTGACAAATAATAATCTAAAATATTAAACTCAGTCAAACCATACACAAATTAATTAATTAGGGAAATATCTCCTCCTTCAACGAAATGCATTGAGCATTAGGAAAAGCGCTATACAAATCCTATGTATTATTATTATGTGTCACCATGCAGTGAAATGAGGAATTAGATTTAAAAGATTTATTCTGTTTGACAATGCTTGCGGGCCATAAACAATACATGAAGACTGAAGCTGCGGGCCGTATTAAATCTGACCGGACTTTATGCCTGGTCTAGATCCTGCCAGCTCATCGTTGATTTCCAACGAGTTATTAACCGGTTAACATCCGCCAATGTAGCCAACAGCCAAGCAGCCAATCACAGCACAGCAGCACCATCCAATCACAGCACAGCAGCACTATCCAACTGGGACAAATATGCGCAAAAAAACAAACACACAATTAAAATTCGATATGAACTGAGACTGGGCAAAGAGCCGCGGGTTGGCCACTCCTGAGCTACAGCCATCTTGATTATTTTCCAAATTGCCTCCACGCTCCTCTTTACATCTCAAACACGCCCTGTCATAAATAAACTGTGAACAAATAAAACCTGAGCTTGCAAATTTGTCTGGATCCCAGAAAAACACTGACTAATAACTACATTTTAATCAGTGGTGAAACCTCATCAATAAACTCCACACGGTGCAGCTGCTCCTCTCTCACCTCTCTGTCTGTCTTCACTTCCTGTTCCACAGCAGAGTCACCTGATGGAGGGAAGAAGTGACAGAGAAAAGACATCAATAATAATAAAACTTTAACAAAGAGAAACATTAGAATCCAAAATGATTGAGAGAGCTGTAACAAGATGGAGTTAAAACATGTTTCTGTTGAACCTTTTAGGATCAGAGTTTAATGGTTTGATGAATGGAGGATATGGTTTCAGTACTCACAGGTCTTCTGGATCTGGGCTGCCATCGATACTGTAGGGATAAACACAATCCAACAGTTATGGGTCAGGTTTAACAATAAAATGACAGTAAAATATGTTCGTTTTGTTGTAGTTGGTATCTACCATAGTATTTACATGGAGATAAGCCCCGCCCCTCGCAAACGTGTTTTGTTTGAATGAGGCGAGTAAACACAGCTGACAGCCGCGGTGCCGATTTCTGGGACTCGACTCGGAGTCGCGCACTGATTGACGCGGACTGGAACTCGGGAATTTTCGCGCACGATGACTCCGACTCGACTTGCACATTGACGCTCCAACTTGGAGCCATGTGCTTTCTGGGGCTTAATCTTAATTGATATAATTTAAACATTCACGTGTTGGCTGTTGAACATTGTGATCGAATATTTATTATATTCGCTTTGTGTTTGACGTTTATAAGTTATGTGATGTTTTGCCGACTGTTTTGAAATAAATTAACAAAATATTTGTTCATTCCAACAGATTTAGAATCATATCCCTTTTTACCATTAGTGTGTTAATAGGTGGCTTGCTTTGTTTGTGCTTGTACATTTTATTTTTTAAGGCTCAGGATTATGGTTTTGTATTTCACTGTTATATAGCGCACTGATAACAATGTTACTTTTAAGATTGTTTCTCAATCCTTGAACTCAAACAATGTTTGGATGGTCCAAAAATCTATTTAAATTATTATCATAAATATGCTAGCTAGCTTGCAATGGTTGAAACTAAGGATTAGTCAGCCCTATTTTTAACCATACAATTTATTTAGCAATAAGAAAGATTTTTTTTTATTATTTGGCATCAACAAGCTAAAATGTGTATCCTTTCTTCTCCTAGGTCAGAGTCCTGCATCGGGTCGGGTACCCGCGGGTACCCAACGGGTGACCCGCAAAAAAAAAGATTCGCGGGTGGTATTTTTTCAAACGCTTTTTTCCGGGTTCGGTTCTGGGTAAAACAAAGATGAAGGTCAGGTCGCGGGTGTTGCATAATAAATATATTAAAATAATAATAATTTTGTTTAATGTTTAAATCCTCAGACCTCTCCCCCTTGGGACCGCGCATAATCATAACCTCTGCAGCGCATCAATCTGCTGCTGAGCGCGCCCACATTCGAAATGGCTGAGGTGAAGCTCTCTAGCGGAGAATACAGCATTTTCAATAACACTTCCTCAAGAGCGAAATCCAATGTCTGGGAGGCTTTTGGTGTCAGCCTAGATTGAGAAAATAACCAACACCCCACGCTTTTTGAGACAAATATCAGAATCAGAATCAGAATACCTTTATTAGTCCCACAGAGACTGCGTGTGTTAATAATTGCACGTTTTCACTGCTCATATAGGATATGCGGGTTCGGGTCGGTTTGCGGATCTTGTGCCGACGGGACGGGTCGGTTTGCGGAACTAATTGGCAATATGTGCGGGTGGCGGGGCGGGTTCGGTATTGCATGTCGGGGGTGCGGGGTGGGATCGGGTCTTGAAAATCAGACCCGTGCAGGACTCTGCCCTAGGTACCAACAATACTTTCTCTCATGTTCTAACGTTCTTAACAATGTCTTTTCAGTTTCTGTGGGTTTTCAAACCATTAAATAAACTGAAATTAAACCAGGAATTGTGACAGTGTGTCATTGTGTTTAATGTAGACCATTTTCATTCGTAAAGCAGCTCTTTGAAGGAGCCAGAACGGAGCACTGGAGGCAATATTGGAACTCGACTCAACCTTGATGATGATAATAATAATAATAATAATATTAATATTGGTATAGCATTTACAAGAATGGTAGCCAAACTGGCTTCACAGCAGTTCAATAGACACATTAGTATAAAATGACAGGATAAAAGCAATGTAGAGGAGCAGCTACATTTCAACAAATATATCCACTAAGATTAATACATGAGGACTTGTGACTCGGATTTGACATGGACACTCCTTGGGTGACTCGGACTTGGACTCGAAAAGTGGGGACTCGAGAGTGACTTGGACTCGTGAATTGGTGACTTGACTACGACACTGTGAACGCAGCATAATGCTTTACATCCCTTCATATGTTCTGCAAACACTACGACTGACTGCTCTCAGCTGCATCAGAGGAAATAACTGCTCAGTAATCTAGAAACATGACAGGAAAACAAAACAGTCTCTCTTTCACTCTTCTGTCAAATTTCATATGTTTGTTAAAACGTTACTTACTAAATATGGCTTTGCTTACAGTATATTGTTTTTGGAAGAATTAAAGAAAGAACCTGCAGTCAGTGGGTAACATCACTGACTTGTTGTGATTCCAGTGAGAGAAACACCTCCACCTCCCTGTGTTTAATACAATACTGCTGAACCAGCAGAGAGTTGACCCCTTACTGACCTGAGAGTCTCCAGTCTGCAGTCTGGACTCTCCAGAAGATCTCTCAGCAGCTTCACATCTGAATCCTGAAGATTGTTTTTTCTCAGGTCCAGCTCTCTCAGATGGGAGGGGTTGGACATCAGAGCTGAGGCCAGAGCAGAACAGCTGATCTTTGTCAAACTGCAGAACTCCAGTCTGAATAAAGAAAACATGATGTAACTTTAGAAAACAATGTTCCTGTTTGAAATAACTCCAGGTTTAATAATCTGATCAGAGCTGAAGAAGGTTAGAAAGTGGAAACTCCAAACAGGTAAAAACTGTAGGAGACAAAAAGTGAAAAGATCTCTCATTAATATTAAAGACAACGTGCTTCTACTTCAATAATAAAGAGGTGACTTCACATCTGAAACTCTGCTCCATCTATTCAACTCAAGATCACAACGTTTACAAAGATCACAAATATGTCAGGATTAGGGATGGGTATGGTTAAAGTTTTAAAGGTACTACTAGTCTTACCGATACTGCTTATCGATCCGGTATTTTTTGTTATTTCTTTTAAGTGAATAACTAAACAAATTGCAAACAGAATTAACATTGCTTTATTTAATTTATAGTGTGGATTCTTGCTGCTAGCACACATAACATACATGCATTTAATCAAGAACTGTACTTGAATACAATTTCGAGGTACTTGAGTATTAAATGTTATGCTACCATGTACTTATACTCCACTACAGTTCAGAGGTAAATGGTGTACTTGTACTCCACTACATGTATTTAATAGCTTTAGTTACTTCACAGATGTGGATGAATGATGTGAAATCTAATCAAGTGTTAAATCAGACTTTAGTTCCACCTGGAGTAAATCCACAAGCTACCCTGCAGTATACAAAGTCATTCAAACTAGCTGCACCTTTACCAGCTTTGAGAACACTTTCATGATCAATAGTTATAAAACATATCATATATATTATTCTGAGACAGAGAGGGAGAGAGAGAGAGAGAGACAGAGAGAGACAGAGAGAGAGAGAGAGAGAGACAGAGAGAGACAGAGAGAGAGACAGAGAGAGAGAGAGAGAAGAGACAGAGAGAGACAGAGAGAGAGAGAGACAGAGAGAGAGAGAGACAGAGAGAGAAGAGACAGAGAGAGAGAGAGAGACAGAGAGAGAGAGAGACAGAGAGAGAGAGAGAGATCAATCTTATGGAGTGAAGAGTAGAAATATTTGTGTTTGCGAGATTTAATCAAAATATTAATTTGTTGTATTTCTTATATCATTTGTTTATAAAAATGTTTATGCAGTGTAGGAATTTTAGCATTAAGATGCTCAGTGAGGATCAGAGTGATATCAGCCTGATGTCTGCAGCTCAGAGTCAACACAACTCTCTTCATCTCAGCACAGAAGTGAAAGATGGAGAACTGACCTGAGAGTCTCCAGTCTGCAGTCTGCAGTCTCCAGAAGATCTCTCAGCAGCTCCACTCCTGAATCATGCAGCTTGTTGAAACTCAGGACCAGCGCTCTCAGATGGATGTTGGACTTCAGAGCTGAGGCCAGAGCAGAACAGCTGATCTCTGACAACCTGCAGGCCCACAGTCTGAATAAAGAAAACATGATGTAACTTTAGAAAACAATGCTCCTGTTTGTAATAACTCCACGTTTAATAATCTGTTCAGAGCTGAAGAAGGTTTTAATGTCAACAATGATGTAGAAACAAATCCCTGATAATCTGAACTCTAACTCTGCAGCAGTTTTTTTCGGTCACCAGAACTTTACCAACTCATTCATCTCCCTCACAGCTCATCTGTCAGGGTTTGGAAGGAAGGCAGGACCCAAAAGAAGTAAAAAAACAAGAGGTCAAGTAGTTGAACAAAAAGCAAGCTTTAATCCACAAAAAGCTCATTACCATCATAACAAGGAGAAACCGAACCTGCACACACCGGGGAACAGGAACCAAGCGACCTTGGGTCCCCTGAAAGGCTCTATATAAATGTAAGTTATTATTATTATTAGGGCCCGAGCACGAGAGTGCTAGAACCCAACGGCGTCCTAGGACGAAGTGCGAGGAACCTATTGTTATTGGTGGAATTATTATTATTAGGGCCTGAGCACGAAGTGTGCGAAGACCTATTGTTCTGCATATAATTATTATTCTTTTTCATCTCGTGCTGCTGGTAAAACCTGTTTTGGAGGGCTTTAAGACGCCATTCATGTAGCGATATTTGGCAAAGCCGGCGGGGCGGGTGAAAAATTCGACATTCCGGAGTCGATGGGTTTGTTGACAGTTCTGCTGTGTAAGTGGCCGTGTCATACCTGACCTTTACCTCACCTACTTCTATTAAAGGGGACCTATCATGCAAAATGCACTTTTATACATGAATATGTGTCCCCGGTGTGTCAGGGAACTCACCAAGTGTCAGAAAACACAACCCTCTCTCTTTTCCTCCATACCCAAATCTCTAAAAACGGGGCTGCAACGGATCTGATACAGACTGATACAGATTTGAAATATCTCTGACGTCAGAAACAAGGAGCTCCGCCTATATGGGCAACTCTCCACCTATCAGGGGAATGAAAGGTTGCCGTGGCATGGTAACAGCATGGTAACATGACGCTCGTGCCTCGCCCCCCTCCTTTGCAGGGGGGCGTGGTCAGCTGCAGCTCTTGCAAAAACAGGGCTGGTTGAGAGCAAAATAGAGCAAAATGAGGCATGGCTAAAATGCATGATCTGTTTGGTATTTTGAAAAAAAAACTTTGCAGACATGTTTTATATAGGTATGGCCCTACAATATATTATTCAAATATAGCATGATAGGTCTCCTTTAAACTTACCATTGATAAAAAGATGCTAAATTGGCTGTGAATGGAAAGGATGTATGTTTCCTTCTTTGTTGTTTCAGGCATATGAAACAAGTCATGTGCAACTAGATAGAACATCCTGAACTTTTTACCTATGCACACTAAACATTCTAGATGGTGCAATAAAAGCGTAAAAGTTCCAGCTACCATTCAGAGAAGGCGCTTGTGGTTTTTGACACCTTGAGAGCAGTTACAGCGGGTATGAAGACAATGAGGCACAGGATGCAGGCGACCTACACACAGATTCAAATCAACTTCCTGGGCCAGCAAATCGTAGAGACAAGCTGCCCTTATTTGTCTCTGTTAATAAATGAAATCTCTGTTAATTAATTAAAGTATAAAGTTTGCATTTTTGAAATTGAAATGTTTAAAGAAAAGATTTTGATTCTAAAGACATGACATTGACAATGTGTTCTGCTTTCATGAAAAATGTTCATATTCCCTCTCTTTAAAATGACATATCTTTACTATAAGTTTGTATTTGTTTAATTTTTAAACCTTACATTTTTTAATGTTCAATAATTAAAAGTTGAACAGTTGTGACCTCCTTCTGACTGAAAGAGAGAAAGAGGGAGACCACCTGATGCAGAGAGGGAGGAGGAAGAAGACTATAAAGAAGGATGGAGAAGAAGGAACGAGGCTTTTTTCATTTACAATAATGATATTATTAAATACAGTTATTGAACTCACATGAGAGTCTCCAGTCTGCAGTTTGGACTCTTTAGTCCAGAACACAGCAGCTTCAGTCCTGAACCCTGCAGATCATTCTTCATCAGGTTCAGATGTCTCAGATGGGAGGGGTCAGACTTCAGAGCGGAGGCCACAACTTCAAAGTGAGTCTCTGAGAGTCCACAGTAAGAAAGTCTGTCACACAAATATTACAAAAAGTATTAGCATAAAGAGAGGAAACATTAACTTTATGAGTTTGATGAGACAACTATAGACTAGGGATGGGTATCGTTAATGGTTCTACTACTCCTAACGATCCCGTACTTTAACGGTATTTTTATCGATACATTTTGTCATTTTCGAAAGGGAAAAAGTTGCGAACCGAATTAGTATTGATTTATTTAAATGTAAAAATAATAAAACATATATTATTATTATTATTATTATATTGTACTGTAAGCAAGTACAATTGTGAGGTACTTTACTTGGGTATTTCCAGTTTATGCTACTGTGTCCCTCTACTCCACTACAATTTAGAGGTATTTAATACCTTTGGTTACTTTACAGATCTAGATTCCCTAGTTCCCTGACACACCGGGGACACATATTTATGTATAAAAGACATCAAAAAGTGCATTTTGCATGATAGGAGACCTTTAAACAAACTGAATGATCGATGAATGACTGCATTCCCTGATAACTGTAACATACTGCTGTATGTTGTGATCACATGCTGCTGTGAGAAAACCTCTTAAGTCCTTAATTTGTTTGACAAGGAATATGAAGAGATCTAAAAACTGTACAAGGTAACAATGATTAAAATAAATAGAATAACTGGGATATTTGAAGACTTAAACTTCTGATCTAATTTATAAAGTTAATCACATCTAGACTTACTTGGCCTTCCTGCAGTTCCTCACAGCTGGAATCAGTCTCCGTCGTCCCTCCTCTGATGTGTTGTACTTATTCAGGTCCAACTCATCCAGAACCTCATCTGACATCTGCAGCATGTAGGCCAGAGCAGAGCAGTGGATCACAGAGAGTTCCTTTGATCTGTTCTCTGACTTCAGGAACTCTGTGATCTCCTGATGTACTGAGAGGTCGTTAATCTCTGTCAGACAGTGGAAGATGTTGATGCTCCTGCCAGGAGAGATTTCATCACTTCTCATCTCCTTCAGGTTGTTGATGGCTCTCTGGATGATCTTTGGACGGTTGTCTGTGCGACCCAGCAGGCCTCCTAACAGACTCTGGTTGGACTCCAGAGAGAGGCCGTGGAGAAAGCGGACAAACAGGTCCAGGTGGCCATTTTCACTTCTGAGGGATTTCTTCATGGCTTCCTTTAAGAAGACATCCAGGGATGGGTAATCCGGATCACTGCTATCACGTATGTAATAGTCACAGTCTTCCTGCAGGAAGTCCTCCAGTACCTCTGTCTTCCTGTTGGTGTAACAGTGCAACATGTAGACTGCAGCCAGGAACTCCTGAATGCTCAGATGAACAAAGCAGTAGACTGTTTTCTTGAATATCACACTCTCTCTTTTGAAGATCTCTGTACAAACTCCTGAGTGCACCAAGGCCTCGGTGACACCAAGACCACAGCGCTGCAGGTCTTCTTGGTAGAACATGATGTCTCCTTTCTCCAGATGTTCAAACGCCAGCCTCCCCAGCTTCAGAAGAAGCTCCCTGTCAGCCTCCGTCAGCTGCTGTGGACTCGTCTCATGTCCCTCTTCATATTTCTGCTTCTTCCTCTTGGTCTGGACCAGCAGGAAGTGTGAGTACATGTCAGTGAGGGTCTTGGGCAGCTCTCCTCTCTGGTCTGTAGTCAACATGTGGTCCAGAACTGCAGCAGTGATCCAGCAGAAGACTGGGATCAGACACATGATGTGGAGGCTCCTGGAGCTCTTGATGTGAGAGATGATTCTGCTGGACAGGTCTTCATCCCTCGATCTCCTCCTGAAGTACTCCTCCTTCTGGGCGTCAGTGAAGCCTCGTACTTCTGTTACCCTGTCCACACACTCAGGAGGGATCTGATTGGCCGCTGCAGGTCTGGAAGTTATCCAGACGAGAGCCGAGGGAAGCAGCTTCCCCCTGATGAGGTTTGTCAGCAGCACGTTGACTGAGGACTGCTGTGAGACATCAGACACAACCTCATTGTTTCTGAAGTCCAGAGAAAGTCTGCTTTCATCCAGGCCGTCAAAGATGAGCAGCACTTTACAGACAGCCAGCTGCTCTGCTGTGACCTTCTGTAAGGTTGGATGGAAATCATGGAGCATCCTGAGAAGACTGTACTGCTCACCTTTGATCAGGTTCAGCTCCCTGAAGGAGAGCGGGATCACCAGACTGACATCTTGGTTTTCCAAACCCTCGGCCCAGTCCAGAGTGAACTTCTGCACTGAGAAGGTTTTTCCAATTCCAGCGACTCCGTTGGTCAGGACCGCTCTGATGTGAGTCTGTTGGTCAGGTAAGGCTTTAAAGATGTCCTGGCACTTGATTGGAGTGTCATGGAGGGGCTTCTTCTTGGAAACTGTCTCCAGCTGCCTCACCTCATGTTGGGTATTAACCTCTTCACTGAGGCCTTGTGTGATGTAGAGCTCAGTGAAGATGCTGTTGAGGAGGGTTTCACTTTGTTCAGTTCCTTCAGTCACACGTTCACATCTCCTCCTCAGACTGAGCCTATGTTCATCTAAAACCTCCTGCAGACCACTATCTGCTGAAAGAGAAGGAACCATGAGAGAATCAGGAAAATGCTTTTGAGAATCTGAGGATGAAAATAAAACAAAAAATAGCGACATTGTTTAAAAAGTCATGATTTTAATAAAACACACAATAATACTTAACCCAAACCGATGAACCAGTACAAAATCCTGGAAACAAAGACAACAATCCTCGCCATCAGATATCTTCACTATCTTCTGTCAAATTTCATTGCATGGCTAACATTCCCCTGAGCTTAAGATCTGTACAGTATTTCCAAATATGAATCTTTTTTAATACCCTTCATGTCAGGATTGGGGGAAAATAGGACCCAAATGCAGTAAAAAATACAAAAAGGTCAAGTAACAAAAGGCAAGCTTTAATCCAAAAGCCGATGACAATGAAAAAACAAAAAACAACCTAACACTAACAAAGAAGGGATGAAACCCTCTTCAATGGTCACACATGCAGAGCATACAGCACAGTGTTCTCTGCTTTTAACCCATCCCAGTACCAGGAGTCTAGTTCTAGGAGCAGTGGGCAGCTATTGTACAGCACCCGGGGAGCAATGGGAGTGGGGGGGAAGAGGGTTGTCCGGTGCCTTGCTCAAGGGCACCACGGCAGGGCCCAGGAGGTGAACTGGGACCTCTCCAAGTAGCAGTCCATACTCCATGTTTAGGTCTGGTCGGGGACTTGAACCAGCGACCCTACGGCTCACAGTCCAAGCCCCTACTGACTGAGCCACTGCCGGACAAACCTGGGAGCACGAGAAACTTTCAAACGGGAGCAGGCAGGTAACATGGACAGGAAAGACGACGACCGAACAGGGAGCAAGAGAAGACTAAATACACCGAAGGGAAATCACAGGACAAGACACAGCTGGGGAGGGGAGGCAGAAACACAAAGAGACAATCAGACACAGGAAGGAAGTCCAGACACAGGGAGAACAGCATTTCAAAATAAAAACGGAAACTATACTGTACACACAAAACTAAGAATTGTGACACTTCACAAAAGACCTGGAAGAAGATCTGATAATAAAGTGATACAAGAGCAGAGATCCAGCACCCCGACGTCCATGCTTCACAACTCATTACATTACATGTCACTTGTTAGATGCTTTTATCCAAAGCGACTTACATACTCAATACTGTGGGCAATCCCCGCTGGAGCAATTTGGGGTGAAGTGTGCAATTTGTGCCTCCCCGATCGCAACACCAACGCACTAACCCACTGCGCCACACGCCTCCCTCAACAATAAACCAAACAAATTCTGGACATGAAGACTCCAGAAGGAACAACCAAATACTAGCTGGCAGATATCATAACTATCATATGCAGAGGTAGGAGAAGTACTCAGATCTTGTACTTGAGTAAAAGTAGAAGTACCAGAGTGTAGGAATACTCTGTTACAGTAAAAGTCCTGCATTCAAAATGTTCCTTAAGTAAAAGTATAAAAGTATTCTCATCAAAATATAGTGAAAGTAGCGACAGTAAAAGTAGTGATTGTGCAGATTGGTCCATTTCAGAATAATATATATGATATGTTTTAGAATGATTGATCATGAAAGTGTTCTCAAAGCTTTCACATCATTTCAACTAAAGCAGGGTTCCTGCAGGTTTCACCAACTCAAATGTAAGACTTTTTAAGACCACTTTGAATAGAATTTAAGACCTATTTCACGGCAAGAAAGAATGAATGAAAATTGCTATGAAGGAAGAAATACGTCCCATAATTACTTTCAAAGTAAATGTATTCCAATCAACATAAGAACGATGACTGAACATAACAGCACACAGAACTGTGTTAGCCAAAAACCAGAAGAAAAAAAGAACAGCCTAACCGTGAAAGTGTGTGTGTGTGTATGTCTCTCTGTATGTATGTCTGACAAGAGCTATCTTCTGAGCTCTGCTCTCTTGGCTACAATCTGTCATCGTTGCTGTTGTAGGATTGGTGTTTACCTACGGTATTTAGCGTCCACAGCACCTCCACTTTTAGAGTTGACGTAGACCCAAGCGTAGCCCGGAGACAGTGGTCGCGTTAACCGAATATTTTCCGTTACCATTTTTGTTCACAATGACGGAAAGATCTGAAAGCAGTCTCTCATTTTGACAGATTAGAACAAACTCTGAACAGCGCCAAAGTTTCCCCGCAGCGAGGCTCTGGTGTTTTCCGTGTTATGCATGCCCTCCAAAAAGGAAATGATATAGTTTCCAAATCGTACTTTGCCGCACAAATCATTGAAATGTCTGGGAGTTTTTGCTTTACGCTGTGCGCGCTCCCGTGAGGTGCATGCATATCTCAGCAGGCATACATAACAGCGGCGCAACGGTTCACGAGCATGCTCTCGCTAGCTGAAGCTTGGTTGCTAGGTTACTAGCTGGGTGTTCTCCGGTAAGGGGCCGGGGGGATGCAAAGTTAGTGATTACTGGTTCCATGTTGATTTATTTCAATACAAATTGTTGGGGGGAACTGAAAGGCTCTTACCGCACTGGTTACTTTGCAGCCCGGACATTTCCCCCAAAACACATTTAGACGTGATCGCAACACAGAAGTACCTTTCAAATCCCATCATTTTTAAGACCTTTTAAATCATATTTAAGACCTTTCAAAATGTTTTGATCATATTTAAGACTTTTTAAGGCCTTAAATTCTGATTATCAAATTTAAGACTTTTCAAGACTTTTTAAGACCCCGCGGGAACCCTGTAAAGGTATTAAATACATGTAGTGGAGGAAAAGTACACAATTTACCTCTGAATTGCAGTAGAGTAGAAGTACAGAGTAGCATACAATTGAAATACTCAAGTAAAGTAAAAGTACCTAAAAACTGTACCCAATTACAGTACTCGAGTTAGAGTAAATCTGCTTAGTGACTTCCCACCTCTGATCATACATACATTTGATATTTGTGCAGTGCTAATGTTTCCCTGAGATTAAGACAGAAAGTGTTTTTATTGAAACACTGCTGTCCCACGGTAAATATTTTTGTACAAACTTTAAAAAACAATGCCTTAAAGAAGAGATCAGATGAGACAATGTTTTTTGGAAGAGTAGAGACCCAGCGCCCAGACGGAGGTAAAGAGGCTGCATGTGTTCAGCTCTTACTTTGTACAATGTTCCATCTTTCTCCACACTGGGGACAGCAGGAGTCTCCTGATGGAGGTCTCTGCTCCCAGTATGAGGTGATGCACTGTCTGCAGAACCAGTGTCCACAGCTGGTAGAGACTGGATCCTTCAGGACGTCCTGACACAGAGCACCGCTGGACAGCTGCTCCTCCACAGGAACAGGACTCTTCCTCTTCCCTCTGTGGAGAGGAACACATCCTTTACAGCACTTTACATTAGTGGTGGAGGACCAGATAATATATCTTCATGATCAGGTAGATAGTTTAAACTTCACATTATTATAAAACCAAACAGCATCCTGTCTGGATTCATGACCCAGAGGAGCACATGTTCCCTGTATCTACTGAGACACACAAAGCTGTATTCATCTGGTACACTTTAGCATTATAAAACCAATTTACAAAGAATTTGCTGTGAATCAATTGCAATACAAATATGGAAAGGATGCTGAAATAACAACGTAATGATAGTGATTTGTAAAAAAAAAATAGTTAATGCAGACAGGTCTGTCTGCAATAGGACAATACATGTGTTTGTAATGTTTGTTATCTGAATGGAGATCATTAAGCTTCATTAAGGCTCAGCTAACATTGTAGCTGCTCCATCAACACTCAGAATAACTTAATAAAGTCAGAAGTACAGCAGCTATTATATTGTGAGTAGCAGTCCCTGGTTGATACACGTACATTAATAACCCTGATTTAATTTGAGCTACTGTAGAGCTCTGAGTGCTGATGTTTCCTTCTCTGATTCACGTCAGAGCGTCAGTGACGTCAGGAGCAGAAACACTGACAGGTTGTTACAGAGCGTCACTAACTTTACACTCAACGTGTACATTTTCACGTTGTGTGAATACACGGACGACATGAATTTCACATCTTTACTTCATTCGTGTTGCCAGGTACGCATTTGTGTCTTTTAATTGAAGAATTGAATTGCTCACCAAGTTATTATTAATAAATATCTTAAAAATACATCTAAAAAGAGGCTTAGGAAGTTAGTATGATTGCTTTTTCATTTGTTTAACGTCTTGTATACAGATACTTTTCTAGAAAAATATGGTATGAGGGCGCCATGTCACTTCAGCCTAAATGACGGCCCCGCCCACTTTCCGCTGAAAATAATGCATTAGAGCGAAGCGGAAAATAATAGTGTCTTCATGTCTTAAAGCTGAGTCAGATATTGCACCTCAAACAACAAATAAATCCAAAATTGTTCTATACTATCTTACTGTGTTTCTGTACTGTACTCTCCTGCGTTTTATTTTAGTTTACTGCGCAAATTATTAAAGAACAGTTTACATTATCAGATGATATAAAAACTGAATCTTCTTCAGGTCAATTTACAGTAGAAACAGACTCTTACTTTGGGTCTGAGGGTCCAGGTTCATTACTGAAGTATGGAGGGGTCTCCATGGAAAAGTCACTCTTCAGAGACAGACTGGGGACTGGAGACTCTGATCTCTGTCTGTGGAAACAACAAATGTTTTAAACATCATTAGTTCTTGTTAAGAGCAGATTTTGACTTCGTATTTGACGTATTTTATTAGCTTGATTTAACACAAAGTCCAACAAGTCAAGTGTGAGGATGATTTCACTAGAATATAATTTACTATCGCTGCCAAGGAGCAACAGTTCAATTAAACGGTGTTACTGTACTCTACTGAGTGTCTTTAGTGTGATCATTAAAGAACAATTCAGATTATCAGATTATATAAAAACGAAATCCTTTTCAGGTTTACAGAAGTAACTCTTACTTTGTGTCTGAGGGTCCAGGTTCATCACTGAAGCCTGGAGGTCTGTCCCTGGAGACTGAAGACTTGTCCTCTTCCTCACTCATCTTCTCCAGTCTGAGAGATATACCACACATCCACACATCCCCACACACACACACAACCCCCCCCCCCCCCCCCCCCACACACACACACACACACACACACACACACACACACCACACACACACACACACACACACACACACACACACACACACACACACACACACACACACACACACACACACACACACACACACACACACACACACACACACACACACACGCACGCCTATTAAACCCTATCCCAAAATGGTTTCAGTTTCAAAGGCAGATAAAGAGCGTTATTATAACAGCATGGTACGTTGTGCTTCACATACAATATAAAATAAAACAGTAAAAATGAACCTTTAAAATATAAATTAAATGTAGAGAGCCATGAGAGTCACAGCGCACGGACGCAGCGTTGTAAACAGCAGAAGCTCCGGTAAGGTGTGTGTGTGTGTGTGTGTGAACAAGCAGCGAGGACACACACATTTAGTTCTAGTTTCTATTATTCATATCTGAATATAACAACCCAATAAATACTACAGAGGAAATGGAAACACTGATATGAGCGTCTGTAAAAATCCCTCTGCGCATTACGCCCTCGTCATGAAATTAAATCTTTATCGTTTTCTGAGGTCAGAATGATTATAGGTCTATATGTGAAGAGTTTGCTTCCAAAACGCGATAAACGCCACTTTTGTAAAAAATGAGTTCCCGTCGAAATCAGTATTGTATTTCGTCAGTATTGAAAAGTCAATATTCAATTTTACGCAAAACGCGATATCCGCCGTGTTATTCTGTCCTGTTTTCTCACTTTCTTTCCAAACAGCGACAAACACCAGTCTCCCTTCTCTACAGAATGCGATACATCCGCTCAACCAATCACAGCGCACCATTCCACGCAGCTCAACCAATCACAGAGCACCATTCCACGCAGTGTAAACAATAATGGCGGCGCCCTGAATGCACCCGGCATCCTACCGGCTTTTGTAATTATCTACTTAAAAACATGAATAATTTTGACGGCATTCATGAACCTGTGGTGGTTTCTGCGGTGGGGAAGAAACGCAAGCCATTATTGGCCATGTCATCTGTCATTGTGAATGGATACTGTGAATGAATAAATTAAGCAATGAATGAAGCAATGGATGAATTAATGAATTAATGTAGATAGATAGATAAATAAATATATAGATAAATACATAAATACATACATACATACACACATACATACTACTTTGGAAAGCCAAATGTGCCATAATACGCATACATAGTTTTGCGCGAATATACGGGGAGGTCCGTATATTCGTGCGAACTTTCGCGCATATCTTCGCGCGGTTTTTAATATGATAATGAGCCCCTCCTTCTGATTTCCTTAGCCAATGAGTTCAAAGTGTCTTCAACCAATCAGTGAGGGGTAAAGCCAGACCAAAGCAATCTGTAGATGAAAAGTTCCTGACATTGTGAGGCTGTGCTGTAAATTGTACATTATTCCAGATTCAGGGGACTAAGTACTAAGTACTATGAATTTGCCTTTGAATATAATAAATATATCACCTTCATTGTCTTTTAAAATAAAATCACATTACCCTTTTCCTTAACCCTCTGGAGTGTGAAGTGAAGGGTTTCTCAATTTTTAGATGTCTCCTTAAATCAACTTTTAAATGTACTTCTTATAACATGGCATGGTGTTACATGTCAAAAATGTTCAGTACAGTCTCTGGTCTTGCTAGAAATGCAAAGTCACTCACCTTAGAGCACTGTCTTATGAGATACTAAGCTTAGAAATCCGATTTTTGGAAAACTTCAAAACTGTTGTGAAACAATGACTCATGTCATCCTTTTTTTTTGGTGTTTCAGATTTGGTTCACCAAAGTCTTTGGTTCAGAAAAGTAGTGAAATCTATGAATTACACTATAGGCCTATATAAATGTGTTATTCATGTCTAAAATGACAATGTGTAAATTAGAATTTGGAGTAAGTAAAATAGTTCTATCACTCTACTTTCACCACAGAAAAGTTACATCAGGACTGATTCATGACTTCATATTCCATACTGGGGTTCATGTGATGTGTACAAATACAAATTGAGCATTACAACTTTTTTTTGCTGAGCAACTATCTTTGTCTCTATCAAAGAATCTGCGCTAGCTGTTTGTATATGCTTATTTGTTTACCAATGTAATAGCACTTTTGGAGATAATAAGGAGCCTTTAGAATTTCTGAAATGAATGAACGGATGAAAAGAAACACGATGTGTGTCCTTGGAGATGCTTCAGAGTCCATACCGAGGAAAAAGAGGTGGTCAATTTCATCGGAGACTACGGATCCAGATGTTCAAGGTGCCCTGCTCTATAGCGTGGTCTATCCACCAGTTCTACTGGTCCTATTATTGTTATTCTTATTATTAACATCATCAACGAGGGACAGCTTGGTGTGACGCTTTCCTGGTTTTTGACCGGCTTTTTATCACTGCCGGCTCACCTGTCGGGAACACATGCCGGGGGGCTGAGTAAAAACTGAGAGTTAAATAGTGTATATCATTACAAACAGCAGAGGGCAGTATAGGACACGGAAAGGCCTCAGTGCGCCGTAAAGTAAGTGTTGTTATTATGTGTCTGCCGCAGACTTGGCATTCTGGCTAGAAAGGCAGCAACGTTCCCTCTGCTTCATTCATTTCTCCTGTTCAACAGGTTAGTAGTGTGTACAAAGATGATGTCATATTTCGATCTAAGAAGTGCGTTTGAAACTGTTTTATGTATAGTTTAATGTGTCATTCTGTGAGCTAGTTCGGCTCCACTACAGTGGCTAATGGCGTCCGCTAGCTTCTTTAGCACAGGCTATCGCTCCCTGAATAATGTAGGACTCAAACTACTATGTTATTAGGTGTATGACTCCCGTGCACTAGTTTGGCTTACATTTCAAGTGTATTCTGCTTGTATAAATATGTAGTATGTAGTCCCCACATGCTTCAAACATTCCACTATCGTTCCTGTCCCGAAAAAGACAATAATCACCTGCCCCAACGACTACCGCCCAGTAGCACTCACCTCCACCGTAATGAAGTGCTTTGAGCGGTTAGTCAAATCATTCATCACCTCCTCCCTCCCTGAATCTCTGGACTCCCTGCAGTTTGCCTACAGAGCAAACAGGTCCACAGACGACGCCATAGCCCTCACCCTCCACACTGCCCTCTCACACCTGGACCCGAAGAACAGGAACACATATGTGAGAATGCTGTTCATTGACTACAGTTCAGCATTCAATACCATTGTGCCCTCCAAGCTGGCCATCAAGCTCAGAGACCTCGGGCTCAACAGCGCCCTCTGTGACTGGATCCTGAACTTCTTGACGGGCAGACCCCAGGCAGTGCGGGTGGGAAACATCACATCCTCCACCCTGATTCTCAACACCGGTGCCCCTCAAGGCTGCGTGCTCAGCCCTTTCCTCTACTCCCTGTTCACCCACGACTGCGTGGCCACACACAGCTCCAACACCATCGTGAAGTTTGCTGATGACACGACCGTCATCGGTCAGATCACAGACGATGACGAGACAGCGTACAGAGAGGAGGTCGAAAACCTGACATCTTGGTGCCAGGATAACAACCTCCATCTCAACATCAGCAAAACAAAGGAGCTGATTGTGGATTACAGGAAGCAGCAGGGAGAGGGACACGCCCCCATCGCCATCAATGGGACTACGGTGGGGAGAGTCAAAAGCTTCAGGTTCCTTGGGGTCCACATCACTGAGGACCTGACATGGTCTCTTCACACCACCACCATCACCAAGAAAGCTCGACAGCGGCTCTTCTTCCTCCGCAGGTTGAGGAGGTTCAAAATGGATTCCAGGATACTCTGCAACTTCTACAGGTGCACGATAGAGAGTATCCTGACTGGCAGCATGACGGCCTGGTACGGCAGCTGCACCGACCTCGATCGTAAGGCTTTACAGAGGGTGGTGAAAACTGCACAGCACATCACCAGGACGGAGCTGCCATCCATGGAGGACCTTTACTCCCAGCGGCTCAGGAAGAAATCACTACGGATTATCAAAGTCCCCCATCCACCCCAGCCACAAACTGTTCTTTCTGTTGCCGTCTGGCAGACGTTACCGCAGCATCCTGGCAAGGACAAGAAGATTCGGAGACAGTTTCTTCCCGCGGGCAGTGAGACTGTTAAAAAATTGAACTGTTGAAACAACTTCAAAACATTCATCTGCTACTCAGTATTATGTATCTAATACCTAATATATATATATCATTCCAATAACTTGTATATAGACTCGTACTGCACTATTCCACATCATCACTTTATTTTATAACTATTAATCTTTTTGTATTGCTCTTGCTCTTATTGTTATTATGTTATTATGTTGCATTGTTGGAGAAGCCTGTGACATAAGATTTTCAACTACATAATTACTCTGTAGCTATGTCAGATTGACAATAAAGAACCTTGAACCTTGAACCTTGATGTGAAATGCTGGTCTGAGTTCATAATTGTTCATAATATTGAAATGCTAATAGCGCTAATGCTATGCTAATATTGTGCCTATCAGTGTACACCAGAGCCAGGTTAAAGGGAGTACAGTCAACCGGGTTGTGTGTGTTATCACTGTATTACTGTAAATTAAGAAGGCTTTAATCCTCCATAAAAGTCATAATATGGCATGTGAATTTATTTCCATTTTTGATTAGAGACAAATACGTCATACAGTTATTTTGATTTGCTAAATGTAAAGGTACACTACACTACAGCATAGTGATGGGAATTCCGGCTCTTCTTGGTGAGCCGGATCATTTGGCTCGGCTCACCAAGAAGAGCCGGCTCTTTCGGCTCCCAAACGGCTCTTCAGTTTACCACATATTATACCTTTTATAATTCAATCAAATGTAGCCCTGTTTTGACTAATGATTTATATGTGTACACATATCACTTACATTATTCAATACATCCTTTGTACTGAAGTATTCAAAAGTAAAAATTACATGTTTAATATCAATTATTTGCTGTGGCCAATTGTTT